CTACTACACGGTGTCCCTGAGGAAGGCGGAGCGGCTCAAGACGGAGCTGATGGACCTGCGGGCGGACGGCTTTGTCATCCGCAACCAGCACGGGGAGGTGGTGTTCCGGCTGGCCTTCCGCTCGGGCAGCCTGGACCTGGAGTCGTGCTCCAAGGAGGGCGAGATCCTGAGCTGCTCGCGCTCGAGCCGGGGGCCGCTCAACTTCTTCATCCAGACGGTGAAGCCCAAGGACACGGTGATGTGCTACCGCGTGCGCTGGGAGGAGCTGGCGGCCGGCCCGGCCGTGGAGCACACCATGTTCTGGGAGGACGCCCACTGGTACGGGGGCTCAGAGATGAGCATCCAGCACTGGCCCATCCGCCTGGCCGGCTACCAGGAGCCCGTGCCCTACGTGACCAGCGACGTCTACTCCTTCCGCGACAGCTTTGGCGGCATCCTCGAGCGCTACTGGCTCTCCTCCAAGGCGGCGGCCATCAAGATCAACGACTCCGTGCCCTTCCACCTGGGCTTCAACGCCACCGAGCGCGCCCTCTTCTTCCAGGCCCGCTACAAGGACTCGCCCTACAAGCCCCCACCGGGCCAGCAGCCCTTCCCCGAGCTCAGCTACCGCGTCTGCGTGGGCTCCGACATCACCTCCATCCACAAGTACATGGTGCGCAGGTACTTCAACAAACCCTCCAAGATCCCTGCTGAGAACGCCTTCCGATACCCCATATGGTCCACATGGGCTCTCTACAAAAAAGATATAAACCAGAATAATGTTCTGAATTTTGCAAGAGACATTAAGAAGTACCATTTTAACTGCAGCCACATTGAGATTGATGACATGTACACCCAAACCTATGGAGACTTTGACTTCGACCCTGTCAAGTTCCCCAATGTAACAGAGATGTTTGCAAAGCTGAGGGAAGATGGGTTTAAGGTCACTCTGTGGATTCATCCATTTACACACATAGATTCACCTAATTATGAAGTGGGAATTGAGCGTCAACTGTTCATCAAGGAGCCGTCAGGGCGGCTGCCAGCCATGGTGGAGTGGTGGAACGGCATCGGGGCCATCCTGGACTTCACCAATCCAGCAGCCCGTGACTGGTTCCAGAGCCACCTGCGCCAGCTCCGGCACAAGTACGGCATCTCATCCTTCAAGTTTGACGCGGGCGAGACCAGCTACCTGCCCAAGCAGTTCAGCACCTTCCGCCCGCTGTCGGACCCCAGCATCTGGTCCCGGCGCTACACGGAGATGGCCATCCCCTTCTACGAGCTGGCCGAGGTGCGGGTGGGCTACCAGTCACAGAACATCTCCTGCTTCTTCCGCATCATTGACCGCGACTCTGTCTGGGGCTACGAGCTCGGCCTCAAGTCCCTCATCCCCACCGTCCTCACCATCAGCATGCTGGGGTACCCATTTGTACTGCCAGATATGATTGGAGGAAACTTCCTCCCCAACAAGACAGAGGGGGCGGTGGAGATCCCCAACCGGGAGCTGTACGTGCGCTGGCTGGAGCTGTCGGCCTTCATGCCCTCCATGCAGTTCTCCATCCCGCCCTGGCTCTACGACAAGGAGGTGGTGGAGATCGCACAGAAGTTCACGCAGCTCCACGAGTCCCTGGTGGCCCCGCTGCTGCTGGAGCTGGCGGGGGAGGTCACCGATACGGGCGACCCCATCATCCGTCCCATCTGGTGGATCTCGCCCCGCGACGAGGCCACTCACCGCATCGACTCCCAGTTCCTCATCGGGGACACCCTCATGGTGGCTCCTGTGCTGGAGATGGGCAAGCAGGAGCGGGATGTCTACCTGCCCGCGGGCAAGTGGCGCAGCTACAAGGGGGAGCTGTTTGAGAAGACCCCAGTGCTGCTCACCGACTATCCTGTTGACCTGGACGAAGTTGCCTATTTCCTCTGGGTTTCCTAACAGGCCCCTCTTCAGCTGTGCCATGGACTCAGTGATTAGTTTACTAGTGGCTTTAATGACCTGGGATTTTTAATAATTTGTAATGTAGCAATATTTCAGAGTGAAATTTCAAGGGGACACTGAGACCTCTGTTGTGTGTGGCAATTGTTCTACAATAACTTATTAAAATGTATTGGATGGGTGTCTTTGTTGCTGCATTGTGACAAGTGTAATGTACAGAAACACAGCCTCTGCTCATAATCTTTTTCCACCAAGAAGTGCCATGCATGCTTCTTCTGTCTGAAGGCAATTACATGGTCTCCTTTGTTACCCAGTTTCACTGATGATCCCCTGGGACATTGAAAATTTCATGTGCTTACTGAAGGAGGCAGCTGCAGCAAAGTACTTTTTTTTACAGAAAGCTGTCTGTGGTTTTCGTGAAGATGAAGGCACCCAATTTGCAGCCTGCATATGAGATGGGAGCTGATGCAGGACTTAGGAGTTTGCATTTCCCATGGCCTGAGCTATCTGAGCAGCAAGAAAGCTACAGTACTTGCTAGAGCTGTGGCAGCTGTTTTCCACCTTTTATAAATTACTGAGAACCATGTCTATGGTGTGCATCCAGGTAAGCCTGTAAAATGTGGTGATATCTCACTGCAGTCAAGATTAAATCCTAGTACCAACTCATGCAGGGGTTTATACTTAGTAGGATCCATGTGTGTTTTAGGACCATGTTTAGGACAAAGGTGTAACCTGCCAGGTGCCAGGAGGGAATTTAGCCTCTTGAGAGAATTCAGACAGTTAACAAACCAGCCTGAGTACCAATTTCCTCACTGAGAATGTTTTCCCATCCTATGCTAATGGAGATCCCTATCCATGACAGGTGGATCCTTCTGTGTCCTTCTGCCCATAGAGGCGACCGTTCTCCAGAATGAAGGTGTCCCAGCAGCTCCTGAAGGCTTGGGGTAACCAGGCTGGCTGTGAAACACTCTCCTCTTTTGTTCCAATGTTTCCTGCTGTTTTTAAGCAAAAAGAAATTTTAGGTTGAGATGACTGGGCAGTTTAAGAGAGTCTGAGGGTCTCTGGGCTGCAATGTCCCTTCCCAAAGTGAGAGGCAGATCACTTTGGTGGCTCCAGCACACTTCCAATGGGCACCTGGGAGATAAAGCTGTGTGTGACCCCAGCGCAAGAGAAAGCTCCTTTTTTTAGGGGTTTGCCCCAGAGCTGCTCCATACAAAAAGTAAACAAAATGGGTCTGGGGAACACTGTACTCAGTCGAGAGCTTGCTTGGTGGCCAGAGGAAACAGATCCAAAACTGGCTCAAACCTGTTGCCCATCAGTAGGTCCATTGTGTCACGAAGGACCCTGCATAGACACCACAGCAGTGCCAAACGGGATGAGCCAGAACATATTTTAAATGCCCCTGAAAGCAGCTGGAATGACAGTAATGCTGTCAGTGGTGTGGCAGTGGAGAGGGAAAACCATCCTTAATGCAGGGATGTGAAAGGGAAAACAATGTTCAGTCTGGCAGTTGTGCTCAGGGTTAACAGGACACCACTGAATCCTTACCACAGGCTTTCTCTCATGGCAGAATAGTAGTTTCCAATGAAACATCTCCCCCAAGGCTGGGAAAGTGTTTCTACAGTTGCTGCTTCAAAGCTCCAAATGGCCCCCCACATCTGGTCTTGGGGGAAACAGAGGGTCCCAGGCTAGCCCTGCAAAATTCCTCCTGCACTAAAAAAAAGTGTTCTGCAAAGCCGAAGCCCACAGTGCTGAGAGAGGAGAGAGCCAGGCTCCATCACCCTCGTATCGTACCTCTGCCCCTGTGATCAACGTGCTCTGCATGCACACACAGCTCTGCCACCCACCTGCACCACAGGCTGATGGGGAAAAAAAACCCAGGCAACACTGAGACTTCCTGCAAACTCTGGGGGTGGTGTGGAATGCCTGGTCCCATGGCTGCAAAAATGTCTCCCCCATCCTTTTCCAGTCTGTCCTTCAATGCCTTTCCCTGCTGCCCAGCTGAGCCACAGGGGACAGGTGCTGGAGGCATCCTGTGAGCAGGTGGCACCACAGACACCCCTCCATGCCCTCCTGCCACACAGGGTCTGTGTGCTGTTGGAGGGACATCTTGTTTGCCTTTCTAAGCTTCAGTCCTGGTTGATTTTTTACATTCCTAGTGCTGTGCACAAGCTCCTTGCTGGATGTGTTGATGACATGAGACTCTCTCCTACAGAACCTGGCTCACCACAGGCTGCCTGTTTTTTGGCAGGGGAAGTTTACTGCCCTCTTTGATAACTGCTGAGTTAAAAAACACCCAGCCCTACAGGCAAAATAAAAAAACCCAAACAAATAAAAATCTGTTTTTCTCTACTTGGCCTCTGGGATTTTGTGTCAGCACAACCATCTTCATGGCTCTCCTGGCACAAGGAATCTGCAGGCTGGCAGCTCCCAGCCAGATTGAGAACTTTGTACTTTTTCCTGAGGCTACCAGCCTGGCCATGTGCCCAAATTAACTCTGCTGCTGTCAGTTTGTCCTTCCACCACAGCCACCCCCAGCCTCAGGCTCTGCCTGCCTGTTGGCTTTTTCTTACTTTTAATCACAGCTGTGCTTTAGGCAGGCGTGACACGCTCACAGCTCGGGTCTCCTGGGCCAGCAGCCACTGCTCTGCTAACACCCATAGGCACCTCCTTGAAATCCAGTTTGCAACAAATTGGGCTGCTGCTGTAGCTCCCCTGGGGTTTGGATTTTGCCACGAGCGCTCCTCCCTGTGCAATGCACAGCTGTGGATGTGTTTTCAAGCACTGCCATGCAGCTAACACCCAGCACAGAGCTGACCCCACTCACTGTTCCCATGTCCCTGGTGAGCCTCAGACACGCTGTCTACACTCTGCACCAGGTTTTGTGAGGACATAAAGCAAACTCAAACCCAAAGCACTGATTCCTAGGAGGGCCTCTGTATCACTGAGGATCTCTGTAAGGCTGTGAGTGCTCTAAATTGTCAACCTGCCCGAAGCTCTTCAGCAGTGCCAGCTTCATCTCTCACGTGATCATCAGCCAAGTGTACAGATGGCACTTGCACCCAAGGAAGAAGTCAAAGGAAAAGCATTGGGAAAATGTCTTTTATTACAAAAGGAGTGAAATGAAGTCCCTCTCAACCCTCAAGCCACACTGTACAGGTTGGCCACTGCTAGTGATGCCCAATGGCATAAGGCAGCTATGGTTTGTGTGGTAACAATGGAAAGGGAAGGAAAAACATTATTTGGGGCAAAGGGGGTGATGTGGAATAAGGCAGGCTCCTACATTAGTCTCACATGCTCCCTTCGTGGCCTTCCCATAGCCACAAACATCTATTCCATCCATGTCCTTGCTGTCAGTGCCACCTGGGAAGGGGAACCATGGGGACAGTGGGGACAGTCAGAAGGACCTTCTGGTGAGCCAAAGGGAAGCTGAGAACAGGCTCCCCTTCCTCATCCCCCACAAACAGTCTTCAAGTGTCCTCTGGAAGCAGCACGGACTAGCAAATCCTCAGACTCAGTGTTGATAAACCTTTTTTGGGGTGAATGTCAGTAGAAATAGGGCCATGACCCTGAAGGTGTGTATGGTCCCCACTCCTGGGGGCTGACACAACATTGGGGTTCACCTGGACATGGCCTTTTCATGGCTGGCCCTAAGGCACAGCTAGTCTCTTTGCTATAAGGACCTAAGGGAGGACAATCCTCAGTCCAGTGGGATTGTCTGCCACCACTGCAAACACAAGAGTGAGGTTACTGCCAGCTTCTCCTTTTAAAACATACATAAAAGCTGCAGGCTGCAAGCTTTAAATAAAACAACAATCTCCACCCTGATTTCAGTGAAGACTTGGGTGAGAAAAGCCCCAAATCTCCCTGAACCACCAGCCCCACCAGCTTGGTACAGATGGACATAGTTAAACTTCTTTTTGTTTTCCAAAATTTTATCTCAATCAAGGTGATTCATGTTACAGTTCATACCAATTAGCAATTAGAAAAGTGGTTAAAAACAGACCCACCAGCATTACAGTCTGACAGAGGACAGCATGTACAAACACAAGCATCCAGAAAACCTGATTCACAACAGTGCAAGATTCAAAATTCAATCACATAAGCATCAGGTGTGAAAAGACTGAAACCTTGTCTGGGGCTTTTTCTTGGCTGAAACAAGCTAAACCCAGCTTTGGCCAGTGACCCATGGTGTAAATCAGAGAAATATCCCTAGCAGCAGTTCCCAAGGTATCTGTGCAGAGCTGCCGGTCTGCAAGGTCTGAGAGATCCTCAAGAACTGCAGTGCTACAGCATAGTGCTAGAAATAGTGGTTTTGGTAAAAAGTTGGATGGAAAGGCCTGTGAGACAGCTTAAGGCAGCACTGCTGAGCCTATACCCATCAGCTCATAGTCCTTTCAGCAGCTTTATCTTTCTTCTTGCTGGACCACTGAACAGCCATGTCCACTTGTGCCCTAATTACAGCATTTGGGAAAATAAGGATATTCTATAATCTTACCCATTCATTGATATAGTTAAATAAAATAAAATTATAACTTTGTAAATAAAATCCTTTCTTTTTCAAGGGAAGGGAAAGAAGACAGTGTGTCTCATGGAGAATTTTCTCCATGACCTTCCTGACAGTCCTGAAACCACTGCAAGGAGATTGAAGGCACTCATCTGGCTGCTCCCATCATTTTAACAGTAGAAGGATAATAACAGGAATGCTGTGTTTCTCTTCACACAGCCTCGTTCCTCATGAGTGATGCATATGGTGAGTGGCACAGAACCAGCGGGAGAGATGACTCATGGGAGAGTATCTCATGGTCATGCCAGGACCCTTCCCATGAAGTCCTGTGCCAGGGATCCCAATTCTGCACTGGCACCTGAGCTGTGCAACATCTCCACCTAACTGATGCCTTAAGTTTTAGCTTTCATATTTTCCAGATTCCGTACTGCACTAGTATATAACTCTGAACTTCATATAAAGTGTTAGCAAGTTCTCCTCGCCGTTTAGTTAGACAAAACAATCCTTTTCCAGCCTGAGAATCAAGGACACCATTGCAGCTTCAGGCCCAAAAAGTATAAACAGAGAATTGAGGAGAGCAATCTGGGAGGATGTGACTTCATAACCTGAAGCTGTAATTGGACAATTAACCCCAATATAGAAATGGACCAAAACTTAAAAAATGTGAAAACTCGTGACCCATCATCCATCTTGGGCGGAGCCACAGCCAGACCCTTGTACTGCCCAAAGTGCATCCTTTGAAGGCCTTTCTAATAAATAACTATTCCTGTAATACTGTCTAGCCTCTGTTCCAGGCAGCCTCTTAAGGCATCATAATGAGTCCCATGCCAAGGGATGACAAGCATTTCATGAGCAAAGGTTGAAAGGAAGAGCTGGAGACCCTCAAAGCACGGTCTTCATGCACTTCTAGGGCTGCAGAAGCTCCCTCCACACTTGGCCCTTCTTAAAGGCTTTGGCCAGACTCATCTCCTCACCTTCAACATCACCCTTGGCAAGCAAGGGCCAAGTCCTGCCAGTGCCCTGATGAGTGACACTGAGGTTCCAGGATTAATTCCTTGCCAGAGGGTGTCTGTAACTTGTAACATCACCAGTATCTGCACCAGTGGCAGAGAAGAAGCTTGAATCCTTCAGAATTAAAAACCTGAGAAACAAACAGGCTTCAGGAAACACTTGTGCTCCAGTTGGGCAGGGACCTGTAAGGCTCCCCTACATCTCATTTTGAGAGTAAATTAAACAGGGCAAATTCAGGTCTTAAGGGAGTCCATCAAACCAGACTTCCTCACTTCCTAACTACAAAAGCACTTCAGATTTTGCCCCTAACACTGAAATTTCTCCTCCTTCACCCCATCACAACCCTCAAGCTTAGTGCACCTCCTTTTCTGCCTCCTGAAAAGCTCTGTGGCTGGAGATGGGCTTTGAGAAAGATCCTCACTGGATAGGTACCCAGCCCTACCCAAAACATGTACCATCTCTCTGCATGGCCGACTTGTGCCAGAGCCATGCCCAGCCCAGACACAATTCCAGGAGAAACCCCACAGATGCTGAGCTGTCCTTGGCCAGCTGTAGCCTGGGCAAGATGCCCAACCCTTCCTAGCCATCACAATTCAATTCAATTCTGCAGAAGCTTATAAAAAATTCAGGGGTTGACACACGTTCCCATCTGGGACAGAGCTGGGAATTCTTGCATTCGGGAAGACTTCAATCCTGTTGGCCCTGCCTTGGGTCTCTGTAAATGCATTTTCCCATACAAAACCAAATGAAAAATCTGCCAAAGATGCAGCTGCTGGGGACTTGGGGTGCAGGATGACATCACCCCAAGTGCCCTCCACGAGCCTCTGACAGCAATCCCACCTCCAGCAACACCAACACTGCCTGAGAAAGCTCCCTGGGACTCTCCCAGGGAGAGAGGAGGGCTGACTCAGGAAAACCCCCAACGAAATCATCACCTCTAACTGTGACCTGAGATGGGCATTAGCTTAACTTCACATTAGATGAGAACTTTTCCGTGGGTGCAGTGAGAACAGCCGCTGGCACAGACCCATCAGTGAGCAGAGCGGGTGTTTTCCACCCCCAGGCTGTCGGCAAACGGCACTGTCAATCCACGACACGTGCCGCTCCCGGGAACCGGCTGTTCCCAGGGACGCGCCGCACCGAGTGTCTGAGGACAGCTTTGCTCCAGGCAGCCCTTCTGCCAGCAACAAATCTCATCTGTCCTTAAAAACCAAAAAGGATGGCATCAGCAGGATAATCATGTAACGAGGTGGGGTCATAAGTGCCTTAAAAAATGGGACATGCTGGTACAGGCGGTGCTGCTCAAGGAAAGGCAATGTTGACGCCCCGGGCAAAACACACAGGCAAGAGCCTTGTAGAGGAAGTCAAATGGGTGAGCAGGTGGGATGCAGCTGTCCCAGCAGGAAATAAGCAACCCATTCCGTTAAAACACGTGGACATCACTTGAGTGACCTGGCCTGCCTGGTACCCAGGAAAGCAGGAGCATGGGGCAACTGTTAGTCCAGTGCCATCCAGGCAAAAGGGGGAAAAATAGGTGTGTGTGTGTGTGTGTGTATATACATATATATATATCTATCTATGTAACTCTATTTTGCTTTATGCTCTTAAAAATATCCATTTGAATATATTTGCCATATTAAAAAACTAATGGCAGGCTGTGCTGTAGCAATCCTCCCACAGCACACACCCTTATACCCAGTGCCAGGTGCTCCCACAAGACTAGGAATGCTCCCACTGGCACTAAGCAACTTCCAGCTCTTGAAATCCTTGAGAACTGAAAAGGTACTGGGTTTACCAGATATCTGCAGACAGACTGACAACTCTGTTCTGACCTACACAGATAAATTGCTGCCTATTGTAATCCAATCAGAGCCTACCACCAGACCCAAATTAAAAAAATCAAGATCAATCCCCAAATAAAAAAAAAAATTATCCCCAAGAACAGTGAAGTTCTATTTAGTTCCCTTCCTCCACCCCGGTCTCAAATGAAATGTGCAATTAGAGTTATTATTTGTTAGAAAGTCCTAGGTAAGGCATGGTTATTCCAAAGCTGATTAAGAAGCCTGTTAGGAAACCCAGAGGAAATAGGCAACTTCGTCCAGGTCAACAGGATAGTCGGTGAGCAGCACTGGGGTCTTCTCAAACAGCTCCCCCTTGTAGCTGCGCCACTTGCCCGCGGGCAGGTAGACATCCCGCTCCTGCTTGCCCATCTCCAGCACAGGAGCCACCATGAGGGTGTCCCCGATGAGGAACTGGGAGTCGATGCGGTGAGTGGCCTCGTCGCGGGGCGAGATCCACCAGATGGGACGGATGATGGGGTCGCCCGTATCGGTGACCTCCCCCGCCAGCTCCAGCAGCAGCGGGGCCACCAGGGACTCGTGGAGCTGCGTGAACTTCTGTGCGATCTCCACCACCTCCTTGTCGTAGAGCCAGGGCGGGATGGAGAACTGCATGGAGGGCATGAAGGCCGACAGCTCCAGCCAGCGCACGTACAGCTCCCGGTTGGGGATCTCCACTGCACCATTGGTTTTATTGGGGAAAAAATTGCCCCCTATCATGTCAGCAGATATGAAGGGGTACCCCAGCATGCTGATGGTGAGGACGGTGGGGATGAGGGACTTGAGGCCGAGCTCGTAGCCCCAGACAGAGTCGCGGTCAATGATGCGGAAGAAGCAGGAGATGTTCTGTGACTGGTAGCCCACCCGCACCTCGGCCAGCTCGTAGAAGGGGATGGCCATCTCCGTGTAGCGCCGGGACCAGATGCTGGGGTCCGACAGCGGGCGGAAGGTGCTGAACTGCTTGGGCAGGTAGCTGGTCTCGCCCGCGTCAAACTTGAAGGATGAGATGCCGTACTTGTGCCGGAGCTGGCGCAGGTGGCTCTGGAACCAGTCACGGGCTGCTGGATTGGTGAAGTCCAGGATGGCCCCGATGCCGTTCCACCACTCCACCATGGCTGGCAGCCGCCCTGACGGCTCCTTGATGAACAGTTGACGCTCAATTCCCACACCAAAATTGGAGGAATTGTAGTTTATGAAAGGGTGAGTCCACAGAGTGACCTTAAACCCATCTTCCCTCAGCTTTGCAAACATCTCTGTTACATTGGGGAACTTGACAGGGTCGAAGTCAAAGTCTCCATAGGTTTGGGTGTACATGTCATCAATCTCAATGTGGCTGCAGTTAAAATGGTATTTTTTGATCTTTTCAGCAAACCGCAGGAGTTTATCTTGGTCAATATCATTCTTGTAGAGAGCCCATGTGGACCATATGGGGTATCGGAAGGCGTTCTCAGCAGGGATCTTGGAGGGTTTGTTGAAGTACCTGCGCACCATGTACTTGTGGATGGAGGTGATGTCGGAGCCCACGCAGACGCGGTAGCTGAGCTCGGGGAAGGGCTGCTGGCCCGGTGGGGGCTTGTAGGGCGAGTCCTTGTAGCGGGCCTGGAAGAAGAGGGCGCGCTCGGTGGCGTTGAAGCCCAGGTGGAAGGGCACGGAGTCGTTGATCTTGATGGCCGCCGCCTTGGAGGAGAGCCAGTAGCGCTCGAGGATGCCGCCAAAGCTGTCGCGGAAGGAGTAGACGTCGCTGGTCACGTAGGGCACGGGCTCCTGGTAGCCGGCCAGGCGGATGGGCCAGTGCTGGATGCTCATCTCTGAGCCCCCGTACCAGTGGGCGTCCTCCCAGAACATGGTGTGCTCCACGGCCGGGCCGGCCGCCAGCTCCTCCCAGCGCACGCGGTAGCACATCACCGTGTCCTTGGGCTTCACCGTCTGGATGAAGAAGTTGAGCGGCCCCCGGCTCGAGCGCGAGCAGCTCAGGATCTCGCCCTCCTTGGAGCACGACTCCAGGTCCAGGCTGCCCGAGCGGAAGGCCAGCCGGAACACCACCTCCCCGTGCTGGTTGCGGATGACAAAGCCGTCCGCCCGCAGGTCCATCAGCTCCGTCTTGAGCCGCTCCGCCTTCCTCAGGGACACCGTGTAGTAGCACCAGGCCACCACCGCAGCAATGAACAGCATGAGGCCCAGCAAGATGGCGCCCAGCATGGGCCTCAGCTCCTTGGAGGGCTTCTGCTTCACCGGTGTGAAGCTCTCTGGCAGGAAGGTGTACATGGTGCTGGACTTTCCTTAGAGCTTTCTCAGTGGAGTGGGAAGTAAGCACGCCTGGGGCTCTCAGGAGAAGACATCGGATTGTTAGGAGAGCTCCCACCTCCACCGCGTCCCAGAACACCCATCTCTGAAAAAGGAGAGGATATAAATAGTCTGAGAGAACCTCGGAATCAAGGGACAGCATGTCATCCACTTGCTCCCCCCGGCCTCCTCTGCCCATCTGTGACGTGCCAGGTGCTGTGTTCCAAGCGGCAGACATCATCTCCAATTACTCTGGGCAAGACAACACATGCAGATAACAGCCTGAGCCCTACACAGGGAACAACCTCAGGGCAACAAGGACTAAATCATTCCCATATTTAATGGTTTTTTGTTGTTGGGAAGACTTTCAGTGAGGCAGGAGTGGAGACTGAGTGGCAGTAGGAGGCTGAACAGGAGCCAGATCAGCCCACAGTGTCTTTAAGAGAAAGGGATAACTGAGAGCTATAAAAGACACCACATAATGAATTCCATGCAGCCAATCCTAATTTTAATCATACTGCCTCCCTGGCAGATTTAATTCATCTGCAGCAACATCCCCTTCTTGTCCCAAGCATGTCCCAACTGCTCCACTTGGGTGATGCTTTGCAGAGAAGGTGAGTAAATCCCTGCTTCTCTACAGCTCACAGAGAGCCAAACAGGGTTGGGGTACAAGTGGCTCATTTCTGGTTTTGGGGGGATGTGTAAGGAGTGCAGTGAGCAGCACAGAATGGCTAGCTCCTGCCATGTGCTCAGAGCTTTACAGCAGTTTCTGGGTGGAAAAGAACTTCCAGCTTTTCTGGAAGACAAACTAACCTTGTAGGAAGTGAGCAGTGGGCCCAAAGGGCCCTTCCTCCATCCAGCAAGGCTCCAGGCTGTGTTTCAGCTCCAGCCCACTCCCCGCCGCGTGGCCCCCGGGAAGTGGGCTGTGCCAAGAGCCTAATGGCTTTTCCTTGGCCACGGCCTGGCTGGGCTCTGCCAAGCATAACGCCCGGGATCCGGGGGAGAAAAGTAAATTAAGGACATGGGAGAGCAAGAAACAAACACAGCTGCAGGAGGAGCAGGGGAGGAAGAGGAGCTGCAAAGCTGCAGACCAGCTGCCTGATATCTGCCTGGTGCCAGCAAACACAGCCACCTCCTCCCCAAGCTCTGGGGCTGTAAACCTGCTGGCTGTGGGCAAACCAGAGGGAAAAACCCCTCTTTTCTGGGCACAAATGAAACCAGTTGCAGAAACTCCCTCTAATAAGGTTGGTTTTTTGCTTAACAAAAAGGAAGAAAAAGATCCAAAATGAATTACAGAACCCTCTCCCTGCCACATGCATGGCAATCCAGAACAAGTGGATCCTGTGCCTCAACAGATCTTTCTCCTCAAGAAAGGAAAAGTAAAGCAGAAAGAGGTCCTGAATGCCAGCTAAGCTTTGTTGCTCCACTACAGGGATGGCCATGCCTAATCCCACAGCAGCACGTGTGCACAGGCTCAACAAAACATTCTGTGTTTATATCCATCTTGAAGCACGTATTGGACAAGACCTTGCAGTTGGGGGAACATTTTGTGTGGCCAGATGGGTCATTCTACCCCTCCCCTGGGAGCCAGTAACTTTCTAGACAGCCAGTTGCTTTAAATGGGATTACAGAGGCATTAGGAAGTGATTAGCCTGAACAGGCGATAGGTTTAGTTAAACAACTTGTCCCACAGCCAACTCCCACAGAGCCCTCAGTTGCCAGCAGGGAGCTCAGTCACGGGATGGGGACAGCTCCAGCCACTCCAACTGTGTCACCCAGCGCTGGATCCTGACTCCCAGGAGGGCAATGGAGCTCTCATCCACTCGGTATTTGTGATGCAAGGCCTGCTGAGCCCAGCCAAAATTGGGCAATAAAGACAGGGAGGAGGTGGTGGTGGGATGAGGCTGTGTTTGGGATAAACCTTCATCCCTGCCTCAACTCTTCCTTGGCTTTAAGGTGAACTAGAAGCAGCACAGGGCTGTCCCAGGGATGGTGGGGCAGGAGGGTTTGCAGAAGCACCTTGGCCAAAACCAGCAAAGCTGAGTGAAGCCACAAAGCATAGGATGCTTCTGGAAATACAGACAGGCACTCTGAGCCCAAATGAGCCCTCATCCTCAACACTGGAAGGTTTTGGGATGCCAGAGAGAGAGGGACATGAAAATACCTGTGACTTTGGAGGCATGCCCGTGTCTCACTTGTGCCTTATCTAGGAACTGCAAAGCTCAAGGTGGGAAAAAATAGAATGCATCCCACACCAAGCAGGACTTGCAAAAGTAATTTTGAAAATTGTTTTGGAAAATATTTCTTTTTAAGCTTTCACATTTTGTTTACAAAAAAATGAGGGGGAAGTAGTGTTTTCTTTGCCAATTCTCATTCAGGGTTTTAAGCCCAAAAATTATGTGATACTGCTGCTGTGGCTCCATCTAAAATTGACAGCAGCTCCCAGGGCTTCAGGGAATTTCTGGATTTTTATCTCCCTTTCAGGAAGCTGGCTTATTATTTATGAACTTCTTCGAAGCTGCTCTATTTTTGGCTGTTTCTTTCTTTCCCTCCCCCCCACCATGGACTGGAGCTCATGGCACACATGAGGGAGCCATCACTGCCACTGTCAGTAGAGAATTAGTGTTTTTTAAGAAAGGTTTTGAGTCCCTTGGACACTGATCTGCCTCAGAGGGATGTGCAAGCTGGATGATTGAGCTGGTGGCTTTTAATCCTGCTCTGACTGCTGTGGCTGGGCCAGGGTCAAACCCCGTGGCTCCTGATGGACATTGCCCACTTGGACACCATCTCACCAAAGATGCTGAGAATGGTGTTTGCAGGCATCACCCAGAGCAGAGATGGGCCAAGGAGGTGTCCAAAAACAATCTTGGTCTCTGCCCTGTATTTTTTTGCCTCGTTAACAGAATGTACACTCTCCAGTGGGGGATTTGGCTCCATCCCAGGTGAGAGCTAAGTCTCCCAGGATCCCTGGAGATGCCTTCTGCCTGTCACTCACAAGCTGCAGCCCACAGAGGTGCCTGCTCATGCACTGCCTGTTTCAACAAATATTTTTTTTTTGTGTAATGCTAACTTGTTATTTTGCTTCAAGATGACATTGTGGTGACCTTTAACTCCTCAAAAAAAAACACAAAAAAAAGAAAATAAGAAGGGAGAGTGTCAAAGTCAAACAGCATGTTTGCAGCTTGCTGTGCCAGAGCTTCCCAGCTGACCCAAAACAAAGCTTTTCCTCTGTGTTCTGTGGAAGCAGTGAGTCGCCTTGCCTCATCTCGAGATGAAAGCAAAACATCTGAGCAGGACACACTTTATGGAGTAAAAATAAAAATCCATTTTTTGACCGCTTCTATTTTTACCAGCACCACTGCTAACCGCGGGCTGCGAGACCCACAGCACCACTAACCCCAGCCATGCTGCAATTAGGGCACTCATTTAAAGAGGGTCAATAACACACAACTGGTCCCTATTGCCCTGGCAGGGTCAGGTCTGAACCGTGCTGGGGGCCAAGCTCCTACCAGGGACACACACCCATTTCCCACACCAGGATGCCAGGAAACCCTCCCTCTTCCACTGCAAGGTGCTGCTGCCTCCTCCCCAAACATCTTGGCAAGAGTTGAGATCAGGAAATAGTACAGAAACACTGCAGATTTTACCAGGAGGCATCTCCAACCCCACACCAGAGCAGGGAATTAGGACAGCAAGTTAAGGGAGAAATGCCTTCTCTGCAAAAAAGCTGTGGGAGCAAAAAAGCCTCCACGTGCCCAGTCTGGAACTGCCTGCAGGGAACCTGCCCTGACAAAGGGACTTTGCACGCCTGATGGCAGGGGGAGAAACAAACCTTTCCTGGGGGTTTAATTTCCCTTGAAGGGCTCTGCAGCAGAGCACTGGAGTTCTCTGGAGGGCTTTTTGGAGTCAAATAGAGTGAAATCATTGCTCCTCCTGCTTGGTGCTGATGGGAGCAGGTGGGACGGGTGGGGGCACCGTGGTGACAACACTGGCACAGGGCACAGGGCTGCTCCTCACACACCCTGATTCCACATGGATCAGAGGCACTGATTCCCCCCTAATCCTGTGGATTCCCCCAAATACTAAGCTGGATCTCTCTGGGGGTATGGGTTTATCCCTGTTTATCCTCGGGGGGCATGTGTGTGGCACAGACAGCCAGCCCCTGAGCCAGGGCAGCAGCTCTGCCTTTGCAGGGACAGCGGGGAGAACACGGTGCCCCGAGGACCCCTCACCTTCACCGTCCTTGCTGTGGCCAGAGCAGGGATGGACACTGCCTGGCCTGGGAGGTTCCTGGACCTGCTGCGTTGGGGGGACCCTCTGCACCTCCTGCAAAGTGACAGGCCCTTGTTGTCAGGGCTGCTGCAAATTCCCCCCACAGCCGGCTGCTGGACACAGCCAGGCCCATGCTGGAGGCACCTCATCCCTCCGGGGCATGGTGCCCCAGTGCTTACCTGGCCACGGCTTCCTGGGGATCCCTGCCTGCCGCCTGGCTCCACCACAGATGTCTTTTTAAGCACATAAGAAAGGAACACCGCTACACCTCCACGTCCCCGGCAGCTGCATCCTCTCCGCGGCGCTCCGGTGCTCCGCGCTGGCCGCTCCGAGAGCAGCGGTGTCCGCGGGCAGAGGAGGGGAGCAGCACGGCACCGCCGTGTCCTCGGGCACCGTGACGGACCCGAGAGCAGCCAAGCCCCCGGCCGGGCTGTGCCGAGGCGAGCGGAGCCCGGCCAGGAGGAGCGGCCGCACACGGGCGCTGCTTCCACCAGCCTCGGCTCCCGGAGAGGGATCCGGGCTGGCATCGCACCGCCCTGCCCGGCGAGCGGGAAGGGCCGGCAAAGGCGCACCCCCTCCCGGCACTCACGGGAGAGCCACATCAGAAAGCAAAACGGAAAAAAAGACCAACGCAAAATCCAGCACAGGGTTTGGGGTGGTTTTTGTTTTCTCCCCCAAATCCTGTGATTTTAAGCAGAGTCATGATCCAAAGGAGTAATGAGGCTGACTGGTGTGAAAAGAAAAAAGCTGCCCCACAGCTGCTGGCTGGTTTGTAAGATAGGATTAAACAGGACTGGGCACTTGGAGGATAAACCCCAAATCCAAGGTGGCCATGTGAATAAAGAGCTCATCTGCAAAGTGCAGACAGACTGCCAGCACCTCACTCTGTCTGCAAGAGGAGTGGAAGCTGTGGCATTAGCTCTGCCCAGCCTTAAATACTTTCACCTTTATTACAGGAATCGTGACTTTGCAGCCCGGTTTTGTCCTTTAAAGTTTTCAGTGTCAAGTGATGCTCCAAACCCACTTAGTCACCTCATCCAGTGTTCAACCATGAATACAAAGCAGCCACTGGGATCCAATTCTGGCAGCAGACAACTTAGTATTTAACACCCCTGACAATTCCCCCTTTACAATATCCTCTTTCTTTGTTCTTCACCCCATGCTAATTATCAAGATGAGTTTAATAGGCTGGGTTTTCACTTTAACCCTGCACACAGCTCATGGTGCTTTTGTCTCATGACTAAATCATGACCAGAGGCTTTTGCTTTTCCCTGCCTGGAGGCACATCAGGGAGCCTGAATGTATCTGAGCCACAAAGATTTGTGGGGACTTTAAAACAAAGTGAGTCCTCCTGGTCCACTTGTATCAAAGCACATTGGACATGAGGGAGAGAAAGCTTCACGACTCTCCCTTTAAGAACCTGTCTCTGTCCACCTTGGAGGAGTCTCATGGGCTCTGGGGGAGCTGGAGGGAGGGAGCCTGGCTCTGAAATTGTGGTCTGTGGAGTAACCCTAAGCCCAGCAATCAGCTCCTCAGCACCTGCAGGGCCATCAGATCTTGTGCCCAACGGTGGCAAAAGCAGAACACCAAATACTGGTGCTATTAGCTTATTTCATTTGCCACTTTTGCCATTTAAGATATGCAGCCACGAAGATTTTGGTGTCTTTGCCACTGTCTGTCGGCTCCCAGCCCATCTCTGGCTGGCACCAGACGTGTGCCATCTACCACACCTTCACTCCAATAGCCTCTCCCCAGAGTGTGTGTCAATCTCACTGCTCATCTCTGTCCTCCCACCCCACAAGTGGGACCTAGTGCCCCATTTGGTCACACAGATTCTTTCTTCAAAGAGCTGACTCAGCCCTTTGGGAGCGCTCAGCATTTCGGACGCTGATGCAGGCTGAAACCTGAGCCCACCCCAACATCCAGTCACTACAACACGATATGGGGGAGAAATGGAAACCTAAGTACATCCCTCTGGCACAGCCCTGCTGATTTTCCAGCCATCGAGTCACCATGAAACTCCAGGCACTGGCAGCTCCAGAGAGCCATGGATGGCTCATGATGCTGGGCTGTTGACGCAAGTCCTGGAATTTACATCCATATCCACCAGTCAGTGATGCTGGACAACCTTGGCCCAAACGCAGTCACCAATCTCTTTAAGTGCTCCTTTGCAGCTCTTCCATGTGCAGATCCAGCCACGCAGACACAACTCTCAAGTGTCACTCTCCACTGGGCTGTAGGTGTCTGCTGTGCCAGGCATTTGCCCCTTGGACATCATGGGTATCCCAAGGTGGTAAGGGAGGAAAAGGAGAAGAAGCATTTGTGCTTTCTAACAGCTTTGGCTGCTCCTTACCATGGCCAGTGATAGCGGAGCTGTCCCAAGACCCAGTCCAAACCCAGCCCAGCACAGAGCACAATGAACTGCCTACACCCATCTGCAAAGTTTCCACTGCCAAGCATCTTATCAAGCGGCAAAAGTTGAAGGTACACTTTGCAAGTGGTGCCGGGGACGTGTCTCCCGGCTCCGTTCATCTTCTCTGGGCAGCCAGACTCCCCCCGGGCAGAGAACCCGCGCGGTCCCTGCACGGCGGGGTGCGCAGAGCTCGCTCCCCGAGCCCCGGGCAAAGCCCAGCACCTTCACCCCGCTCCCCGCGGGCCTTCCCGAGCCGTCGCCGATGCCGCAGCCCAGGGTCTGCGGGACGGGCACCCCTCCGCCCGCGCCCCCCGAGCCGAGCTGCGCCCCCGCCCCGAGCGCAGCCCCGGAGCCGCGCACTCACCGGCACCGCGGGGCCATGGCCGGCTCCGCCGCTCCGGGGGCTCCGGGCTCGGGGCTGAGCGCGGTTCCGGGGTTGGGCGCTGCCCGCCCCGCCCCGGCTCCCGCCCCGGACCGGCCCACGGACCGGCGCTCCCCGATGGGAGATGTAGTTCGGCCCGGGAGGGGCAGCTCCGGGGGCCGGACCTGCGGGGGATGCCCGGGGCTGCGTGGGGATGGGGGTGCCCCAGGGGCTGGGGGGATCGAGGTTTGGCAGGGCAGTGCCGGGATGCTTTTGGGTCGGGATGGGGTTTTCATGAGATGCTTAGGGACTGGGATGTGCTTTTCATGGAATGATTTGGGGCCGGGCCAGGTTTTTCAATGGGATGCTTTTAGGTCGGGGCATGCTTTTCATGAGATGGTTTTAGTCTGGGATGCGGCTTCATGGGGTTTCCCTGCTCCCAGGAGGACTGGAGTACTGCTTGGTGTGGGCACAGCATGGCAGGCTGCTCCCGCACGGGAGTGGGGGTCTCCAGAGAGCTTTGTGCTGAAGCATCCCCCCGCTGTGAGTACCACAGTGCCGTGGATTTATGATCAGCAGCACACATGGAGGGGCCCGGGTGGCGTTGCCCCCAGCACTGTGCTCTCAGATCATAGTCAGACAAGGGCATTTCACGCCTTCATTAATTATGTGCTGCTTTCAAAGTACCCCTCCTTATTTAGCCTGTGTCAGTGTTCAGTATCCCAGATGGATGGCAGCTCTTCCTGGACAACTTGCCAAAAGCAAGCACGTCCTCAGCAGCCCAGCATGAAGCTGACAAACACGGGTGTCAATGACAGCTTCTATTTTTGGCTGTGTTACTATGCTCCAAGAGTTTTCCCTTGCATGCTTGCTTGGTCTCCAGCTTGTGCGTGGTGGGAGGGCACCAGCCTGGAAGGGATGTTAAAGTGCCCACCAAACCAGGAGTCACTGAAGCTTCTCCACCCTTCCCAGGAACTTCCCCAGACCGTGGGAGGGGGTCTGAGGGGAACAATTGCCCTTCACCAGTGCCGTGGGGTAAAATAAGCCTCTGAGACAAATTAATGTACCCTAGCATTGCCATCTCAGTTGGTCATTTCCAGTGGATCTCCCTGCCTGCAAACACCGCTCTCTCTTGCATGGTCAATTCCCTAAAATTCTCATTACCAGACCCATGTCAGTTGAGGAAAATATTCCTGTTTCTCTGTGGAGAAGACCTTGAGAAACTTCTCTCTGAGACTCAGGCATAGAGACATTTATGGGGAATCCAGTGCTCCCTGTTTATTCCTGTTGTTGCTTGGTTTTAGCTTCTAAACTTAGGGATTTGAAGCCAATCACTAGTTTTCTGCAAAGTCTCACACCTAATTCTGGCCCACGGGGATTTGATGCAGCAGCAGAATGATGACTGTGCTGGCTAAACAGCATCTTTTCTGCCCTCTGCCCAGGGCTGAAAAAAGCTGCTTCAGCAACAGGGACATCCTACAGGTAAACACGTGGGGATTAAAAGGTGTTGCCAGACCTGCAGTGGGTGAAGGACAGGGCTGATTACTGCACAACAAACAGTGTGGCCAGGGAACATGTTCTTGGAAAGTAGAGCACACAAGGACAACAGAAAATACAAGAGCAGCACAAGAAACGCTGATGTGGCCCCAAAATCTGGGAGATGCTAAGGTACATGCAGTCGGGCTCAGGGATGCCAGCAGGATTTGAGGTGGTGTAGAGTCCCAGGCATGGCTGGATGAGACCATGCATACAAACAACTGTCCAGGGAGTAATTCTGGCTTTCTTAAGGATCTGTCACAGAGGTCCTTGAGGACCACGGGGCACCAGGAGAGTATTCCCCAGGGGATATTTATCAGGGGAAGTCAGAACCCTCAGGATGTGCAGACATCCCTGGGACAGGGATGGTCTCAGTCCAGGGAAAGAGATGGATGGCCATGGCAAAGCCACAAGGACACCTACTGAGAGAGCATCCCTTTGGCAGTGGCAGGAGGACACAAGATGCAAAGGGGGGCTGAACAGACCCACTGCCAGCACCATCAGACCCCAGACCCCATGGAGATACGCTCTCTGTGACACAGAAGGACAGCTAGGACCTTGGCAGAACTTTTGGAGCTGGACAACCAGTTCATCTCAGGCCGATAGGCAGTGGGATGGATGGCTGATGGTGTTCCTGTAATTCTCCTGCATTGCTACCTCAATCAACTGCTTGGGCTGACCTTGGCTCAATGGATTTTGCAATGGGGGCATTGTTAATCCCTCCAGACAGTAGGGAGTGGGAAGAGACACCCATTCCATGTGGCAGCATCTGCCTTCACAGCTGCTGGGGCACGGTGAAATGGGTTACTAGGCAGGATCTAGTGCTGGAAATGGAGCTGGAGATCTGAGCATCAAGCCTCCCTCAGGGGTCATAGCAGTGCTGTGATTCTCTTCCCAAGCTCCCCACTCACCCAAAACCGTGGGACAGGGGAAAGAATCACTGGCTCCTCTGCCTCTGCATCCAGGGTGTCCACAGATATTTGAGCATTTTGCCTAGTGGGAGATGGGGTGAGGGCACTGGGAATAGGGCAAGCAGATGTTGGGAGGGGAGTTACAGGACTGTAACCAATGTCCTGCAGCTGGCAAGCCTGAGAGGGCTGTGTTTCATGGAGGACAGGGGTGCCCTGGCTGGTGGCATGCACTATTTCTGTCCTCCACAGTGGTGACGTCCCTGTCCATGCCCTCTGCTTGCTCCCTCATTACAATGCACATGTAATGAGGCTGCAGGAGATGAGCTGGTTTGCAGTGAGCTTTGCCTCAGTGCTGGTGACTTTCTTAGCCTGTGAGGGGAAAGCTGTGTCCCACAGATGCCCTTTGAGTGTGGCCTCAGCTCAGGGATCACTCCTCCTGCAGGATCAGGGCTGGGAGGGATTTTTCAGTGCTCAGAACTCTCCCCAGCCCTTCACATGGCTCCCTGGCATGGAAGATCCACCAGCTGGAACTCATGTGAGTCTGGGAATTGTATTACAGCAGCTCTCAGAGCAACCCCATCATCACCATGTCACACAGCAGTCTGGCACGACCCCTGTCACTGCCTCAGTTTCCCTTCTTCAGCAGATCCTGTGCGTGGTGTTCTCTGAAACCTCTCCATGGACAGGGCTGACATGTCAGAGTGTCTGCTCTAAGAGACCAAAGCCACTGAAGGATGCAGCTCCAGGGGACAGGTCACAAGCACATGCCATGGGGTATCAAACACTCCTGGTCAGGGAGCATGACACTGCCTCACTACAGAGACAGAGCAAGGCACCCTCTGAGTCCTTGTGCCATCCTCCTGCATCTGCAACTGGCTAGGTGTAAAAACCCCAAAATTTCCTCCTCCTGCAGCACTTACCTGTGTTACAAACTTGTTCTATTTCCAGAGCTCCTGTGGAACGCACTCTGGATAGTCTTTCTGACGGAGCACAGCAAGCAGTAGGAGTTGGTGCAAGTGCTGCTGAGGGTCCTGTGTTTTTTAAAGAGGAACATGCAGCCTGCTGGGACAGGTGTGGGCTTGCACTTGCAGCCCAGGGTGATGTTCATGTGATCAGTGACGCCATAGAATGGGAGCACTGGGATTTGGTGGCTTTCTGTCAGTCCCATAGCCATGCTCCCTGACTGCAATTCCTGCCTACATCCCTCTTGAGCCATAACCTCTTGTTTTTGTCTTGGCTCCCAGCTCCCTCCCCTCCTGCTGGCAGCTACCTTACAATGGTAGGAAATAGTTTCAGCTGGTCCTAGTCAAGATAATTTTATCTTGGGAGGTGCAGGAGCAGTGATAATGGCTTTTCAAGCCCCTTTCTCCTGTACTTCCTTGGAAATCCTACAGCAATCCAGCTGCAGGCAGAGACCCCCACACCAGTGCAGCCAGACTGTGTCACAGCAGCAGCACAGCTGCCCCAGCCTGATGAGGTAATTAGGAGGGAAATCATTGCCTGCTCTGTCTCCCTTTTTAATTAAAATCTGGATTTGGGTGATCCCATGTTCCTTTTTTGCTGCTCCATCCAAATAATGGTCTCTGCAATCAGAGTGAGCAATGCTCACCCATCTCAGTGCAGAGGCAGCTGGGTCATGCCAGGGTGGGAGTGGCATGCACTGGGTTTGCTTTCTCCAGAGCTGGGGAGTTGAGCAGAGATGCCCCTGCAGGGCTGGGGACAAGCCAAACCCTGCTCTGGTCCGGCCTGTAGCACTGTGCCCACTCAGTGCCCTGCTGTGCTCTCTGTTCCAGCCTCTCTGCTGCTTCATTTTGGCAGATCCATGGGTGCAGACCCACACCCATCTTGGCAGGGGAGATGCCAACCTGTACCCCTGAAGGGCTGCAGAGCCCTGCCTGGTTTGCTGCTGGACAACCTGGAACACCCAAGTGGGTCCCAGAAAAAGTGAATTATGTGCCCTTAGAGAACAAGAAAACAAGCTGCCCTTGATTTTCACACCCTACTGCTCTCTGTTGAGCCAGGTTTAGGCTCTCCATGAGCCCCACTCCCTCCAGGGAGTCAGTGGGAGCCTGGGAGGGGAAGGCGGATGCTGCAGTGCCTACCCCTGCCTCAGCCCCCTGGTCTTGGAGAAACCCAGGTCACAGATCTGGGGAACACCACTGTGCAGAGGTGGAACCCAAACCTCTCAGCTGTGGGGGTTCTAATCCTGTACCAGATTTGTTGCCAGTGTGATCCACTGGCCTCATGGCTGTCCTCTATCCCTGTTGGTCCACAGGTTTTCCAGCTGCTGGTATTGGTCTTTAAAATCAGGGCTTAGCTCCTGTGCCAACAGCTTAGAGGGGCAGAACAGCTGCAAGGCTGGAAAAAAGGTTATTTCACCCACTGATGTTGTACAGATGCAGCAGTTCTTTCTGCTTCTTGAAGACTACATGCAGGAGCTGGGTCCAGCCTTGTGTGCCTTCCTGCTGCCCTGAGGACTCACGTTTCCCAAACGTTGCTGCCCTGAGGACTCACGTTTCCCAAACGTTGGTGGCCAGCCCTGGAATATTTACCTCTGCCATTCACACAGGTCACAGCAGGCACTGTTTCTGGGACCAAGCAGGCCATGGAGTGAAGGCTGCACCCCTGTTTTCATATCTGCGACTGCTGGGGGCTCAGAGGAGCTGGTGCAGTCCACACTCCCTTGCCCTGGTTTGTTCCAATGAAAAAAAAAGGCTGTCAGGCTGGTTTTCATATGTATGCTTTTTAATATCATTAATTCTGTTACACTACACACAACCAGTAACAATGATAAATACTGCAATGGAAATGTTAAAAAAAAATATTATACACTTTTTTCATGTTTTTGAAAAAAACCCCCACATTTTAAAATAAATTAATGCATAAAACTGATGGTAGAAAAGAGAAAACCCAAAACAAACCATAACACAACTGATCTGTTTAAGGCAATACTCTACACAGACGGGAACAAAAGTACAACAGTGTGCTACATGATCTGAATGGGAAAAAAGGGAACAAAAGAAAACCCATACAAGATGCAGACTGATGCTTTGGGAGTGAAAAAACTCCCAAAACCAGATAAAAAAAACAATGGCCAAGTTAAGTGCAGCATTAATACACTCTGCATGTCAAATGATTAGCAGGTTCCTAACAAGGACTAAGGTCAAGCTACAACAAATTTATCTTCCTAATTAAAAGGTTATTCAGGTCAAACCCTACATTTAACTCTATTTGTGTTTGGCTGTTTCAGTTATATTTCACTATATGCAAGGACAGCCAGAAATTCATCTCCTGCTCTTGTGATTAACACAAAGGTCGGGAGGTCTCCCGCCCTGAAATGTATTTCCATTAAATAAATCCAAAAACGATCTTGCTTTTGGTGACCTTGAAATACCTCCCACCACCCCTTCCCCTGGGGCACCAGGCACCACACGGGGAATGGAGACCTGGAAGGCATTTACTTAGGTTGATTTTTTTTTCCCATGCTGAGGACACAAAATGGAAGTGCAGATTTGATCCGGACTTGGAGGAGTGCTGTTTTTCTGTCTGCCAGAAGTGTCCATCTGGAGCCTGCTGAAAGTACTTTACCAGCATGGAAGAAACTCATACTGTACACAGGCTCTGGCTACAGCTGTGACATTTGCTATTAAGGTTGGTGCAGAGCTCCACACCTGCCTGGACAGCCAATGAACCCCAATTATTAATGCAGCCCAGAACTTGGCCACTGGAAGATGGACAATAATTGTAATGCCAAAAAAATCCCTCTTTCCCTCAAAAAAGAAAAGAAAAGGGACAGTAGCCACTTTCTGCCAACTTCCTTGGGTGGATCCCCATTAGCTGCCACCCATTTAAGATCGGCAGTGCCAGATCTCACCAGCATTGACCCAGTACATTCCCAGTAAGGTGCATGTCTGCAAGGTGCTGCTGGGGGCAAATAAACTTCCTGGGACATGTCAGAGCCTCCTGTACTGCCCTGCTAGAGTGCATGGGAAGGAAGCCATGAAACACAAGGGAAGAAACCCAACTGGAATTACTAGACTCGTGAAGGCTAACAACTGTCCGGGTTGCCTTGGGTTCGGGTGGGAAGGGGGGATGCAGAACTGGGCTGAGAATCACTTTGGTGCAACTGCCTCTGATGCTCACCACTAGTGCATGGGGCAGGGGGAAGAAAGGCGACGGCTGCTTTGAGAAAAGGGGAGTGGAAGGAGGACGTGTGTGCAATATTACAAGGCTTGCAATTCTAGGACTAACCACTGGACACGGATACCAAAGATTACTTGTGACAACTAGCTATCCTTCTACTGCGGTTGCTCCTTCCCCCATTTTCTGGTCTGATTCTTCTTCAGTTTGGGAAGCCATGGCTGTTTGGCATGATGGCCAGTGCTGACCCTCCCACCCCAGTCCTTGCTCAGCTCATGGGGTGACTCTGCTACAGGTTGGACAATGAGGTCTGGAAATCACGTCAGGCACAGACCGGCTCTGCACGCCAGCCAGCACCTGCTTTCAGACTCTTCAGAAACCTATTTAATGGCAGCTCATCTCCCTTATTATACTGAAGGTTCAATAACCTCTGTGGAAGGAGTAAAAAGGGTTTAAAAAGTGCAAAAAGGGGAGGGGAAAATCCAACTTTCTGAATTGTCTCCCCTGCAAAGACTTCATCCTCCACCAGAGTCTTTCTCCCAGCAGAACTACAGCCCCACCAGCATCTCACAGCACCCCGCCCCAGTGCAGCAGAAGCAGAGCCAACAGGCTCTCCACTAAGGCTTCTGCTGCAGAACTCCAGCCCACACCAGGAGCATGTGAGTTGGCAGGTCTGGGACCTGGACCCACAGCACTGAGGCCAGGAGGGTGAAGGCATCCGGCTTGGCAGGCTGCATCTCACCAGGTTTTACATGAACCTGGTGAATCCTCAGCCCCACAGCCTTCATGTGGGTGAAGAGAAACCCCAGCCTCCTGTCTGATTCTCACCCCATCATGTTCACTGACCTACGGCTTTCCTGACTTTTGCTTGGTGTTTGTTGTAGGACAGAGGCAGCCACAAGCTGAACACAGCTGCTACTGCAGCTTCTCCATGCAAAGAAATGGAACAAACAAATCTGTGAACTGGGGGTGGATATGAAGATCTGTCATGAAGAGTGCTTGCCCAAGTTTTTCAGCTCTTTCCATGTGTCTGTATTGTATCTCTCAACAAACTGTGTCTTCCAAATCATGGAGGCTTGAGGAAGGTGGGTACCAAATGGAGTTGCAGCTTATTTAGGCTACAAAAGCAAAAAGGCAGCCTGGGTGAAGAGCAGTGCTTCCCAGGGAGCTCACCTGGGACAGCTGCATGGACAGCTAGGGGAGAAATGCCGCTCTGGGAGGGTAAGTATCTTAGCTATGGGACATAGAATGGCCTTTCAGTGGCCTTTTCCTGGTGCCTACTGCTTTCCAGTAGGCACCAGGGAAAGCTACAACCTTTCCTGCTGCTGTCTGTGCTGCTCTGTGACATGGTTTGCTGCATGCTTGCATGGGCCATGGGGCTGTGCTCGGTGTGATCTCAGTTAGTACCAGCCTCTGCCTCCCCAGCAAGCTGTCAAAGATGTGCTCAGACAGGCAGCGTTCAGCTGCTGTCATCCTGGGACTGCCAGCAATGTCAAGTGGGGCAAAGGAAGGGATGTAGCCGTATTTTGGGAAGCAATGCAGCAGCTCACCTGCACAATACAGAAAGTTAAAATATGGACTACAAACCCTATGAGAAACCTCCACTGACCTCCTGCAGATAATCCCAGCCACAAAATCTGCCTTTATGCTAAATTCCTGGCCCTTCTGCTTCAGGTCTTGTGTGGTTCTGTAACAAAGGTGAGTTTGTCTGATGAAGTGTGGTTTTGGAGCAATCCCTCTCACAGCTGAGCCTTGAAAGGAAGAGACAAGTATGCCTAGAGGTGAAAAGCAGCTTAAAATAAAGATCTTTCCATGCCTTCCCAGCTAGCTCTGTGGCACTGCTCCTCTATGCAGATGTTGCTTTTGAACATGCAGCCCAAGCTTGCTGAGCCAAGCAGCAGCCAGGTGCCAAAGCCTACGGCATTCTAGGTATGAGTGGCAATACCCCAGGTAGGTGTGAAGTGAGAATGGAAAAGCAAAGGAGGAGCCCAGGCAGAACCACCAGTCTAAAGGCTAAGATTATCATATGGTTGCTAAAAGCAAGAGCATGAAACTGCCATGGGAATATACCAAAAATGAGCCTTTCAATTCTCTGTTCCTCTTCATCACTACTTGCCATCCCAAGGTGCACTCCTAAATTCCTTAATTCTGCTATCAGTGGATGGTGCTGTTGGGCCACCAAATCTTTGTACATGTTGCCTCTGGGAGCAGGTAAACTCAGAAGCCAGTTGTGCAAGACTCAGCTGCCAAGTAACTGGATAACATATTCTTGACAAACATCTTTCTCCGAAGATGTTTAACCTCTGTACTGACCTCCACCCTGCTGCATTCTGGCATGCGTGAGAAACATCAGAAGATGGTAAACAGAGGGAAAGCAGAGCAGTACTTTGAAAATAGGAATTAAATTTCTACAGCATTATATTGACATCCTGCTTGCAGAGCTGTCCTATCAACAGTGTCTCTCATACTTGGCAGTATCCAGGCAGGATGGCGGCAGCACTTTGGGAAGGCAAGTTTCTCCCATGTGCTCCAGGAGGGAATGGACATCAAGAAGGGATGTGACTTGCCTGAGTTAGAGCAAATACCTACAGCAGCAAGGACCCCAGATCTCATTTCTGTGCTCTAACAGTCCAGCAGACCCACCAGGGCTGTATTTGGATGCAGTGCCAGCTCAGGGACAGGGTGTTTCTGGTGTATACATCTAAAAGCAAGCTTTGCTCCCCACTGGCATCAGCACTGCACTGATCTGTGGATCAACTCAGACAACTGGGATCTGACCTAGGCCAAGACAGCACTTGGCAATCTTTCTAGTTATTGCTTGTTTTCCTTTTCCTGTTTTCCATCTGTTGCCCAGCTGGGTCCTTCCTTTCTTCAAAAGCATCTTCATGTTTCTGTTGAGTCACACATAGGGCGCTGCATTTTTCAAGCCTCCTGCATTCTCCTGCACAGCCTGCAGGCCAGCCCAGGATCAGACTGTGCATGGAAAGGGAAGAATTCTGCTCAGGATGGCAGACCTGTGTGTCAGCCAGTGAACTGCTGAACGCAGTGGGTGCCTTCTTTTGGGACAAGAGCTGGTGAAACAAACCAGAAGGAGCTGAGTCCACTTGTCTGTGGGGAAGCTGTCCTGAAGTTCCTCTCAAAGTCCAGCAGGAATGATCACCTGCTTTTGCAGTTGCAAGGCATCTGTAGGCAGAACAGCCAGGAGAGCACAGCAGATCCAATGGCCAAGCACACATGTTAGGGACAGACATGCAGCAATGTCAGATATCACCCAATAGCTCTTCCAAAGGTTCACTTCAAGATGTGTCTGGTAAGATATCAAATGAGCCTTCAGAATGGGCATCAGCCTCCTTTCAGCTGAGGTTTATGTACAAACACTAGAAAAGCAGACATGAACACGCTATCTATAGACCTTCCTCAAGACTAGGAGGATGTTACTCCTCTCAAAGACATCTGGAAATGTGGAGTTTGCAGACAAGAGAAATGGAAGAGTGCTGAGACCCTAGAGTTCAAATCCAGCTAACATTCAAGGATACTAGTTGATATTTTATCAGATTAACACCTGATAAAAGGATTTGCTGAAACTCACATAATTTGCTGACTGACATTACATAAAATCCTAACAAAAACCCAGCCTGGCTTTAGGAGACATCAAATGCAAATTCCTTTGTGGAGGCACCAGCATCAATATCCTTACATCCTGTTTGCATGGTAATTTAGGTAGACAGCAACACAGCTTTCATACTCCAAGGTGTTCCTCCCCTTGGTTTTCTGTACAACCTTGGATCGAAAATGTGGCCTGAGAGGGCCATCTTGTTTGGTGCAAAGACTGGAAGAAGGACCGATTTTCTTTCTTGCATGCCACCTGTATTTAGCAGCTCTATAGATTTTGTAGAAATGCTGTGACAGAGAGTCAGAGTTTGTGCTCTTGCCTTCTGCCTTTTTCTGGCCCTAGTGGCAGAGACTGGTCAAAGGAGAGCAGTGCCAGGATAGCCATCTATCTCCACATCTTCCCAGGAAATCACCACAGCATAACCTCCAACCAGGTTTGCTTGAGCAGAGAGCCTGGATCAGATGACCTCACTGTGGCCCCTTCCAGCCTTAGCCATTCTGTGACTCCAAGGGCATGTGGAAAACCTGCTGGCTAAAGCAAAGGTCTGAACATGAGACCAGACAGTGGGAACCAGCCTCATCTGTGGTTGATACATACCAATGGGCAGTCCTCAATATTCCATAATGCTGCATGGTCATAATCTGCTGAAGGGGCTGCAGCTCAGAAGGATTAGTGCTCAGTTTCTATGACAGCCACATGTGCATTGCCTTAAGCCACTCAGCCTTTCTAATAACGACCCTACACAGGTAACTACTTTTCCCCACCCTTTCTACATTATTCCCCTAATAAAATATATGAACACAAAGCATAGAGAGGAGAAGCCAAAAAATTGCCATTTTATGGTCCTGTACTGTCATGCCAAACCAACTGTTTCTGCAACCAACTCCGTCTGTGCACAGGCAAAAACACTTGAGTTGTGCTTCAATTAGTATTTGCAGGAAGCACCAAATGGAACATCTGAATTAATCTCTCTCCCTCCCTAAAGAGCTGTGCTAGAAGCAGATGCACATCACAAAACACAAAGGGCTGAAGGCAGTTGCAGGTTTGGGGAATGTCTCAGGGCACATGGCAGGCAAAAACCAGCAACAGGGGCAATAAAAAGACTTAGTAATGGTGCCATGGGACATTGCGTGTCACAGAATTCCTCAGATTGGAAAAGACCTTTAAGATCATAGAATCCAACTGTTAATCCAGCATTGCCAAGTCCACTAAGTGGAAGTCTGTCCCTCAGAGGAGAGGTGTTAACCCTGAGAGATAACAGTGACAGCAAGTGACCATTTAGAATAGTCACCAAGTAGTGACCATTCTATCCTAGACTGAACAGGACAGTGCTTGGTTATAGCTGGACTCAGATATCTTAAGGGTGTTTTTGAACCTAGATGGTGTCATGATTCGATGATGGCAGCATGATGGACACCTGTGGGATGTGCAGCCCTCAGTGGCTGGCCCAGGTGAAGAGCTGGCTTGTTGTTCTAGCAGGCAGTCCGAAATGCTCCGAGCTCCTGAGCAAGGGCTGTGGGAAAGGCTGAGCGTGTGCAGCCTGGCTGGAAGGCAGAGACTGACCCAGGAGGATAAATGTGATGAAGACTTTCCATGATACCAGTGCTGAACTGCGAAGGCCCTCTGCAGAAGAGTGAAGATTTAAAGAGCACTGGTCATGTCCTATAGGATTTGGTTTGACCATGGTATTTCTACTAGGTTTTGACTACATTCCCCATTAAAAAAGACTCCTTAAGGAATGTTTTTCCCTTTTATCTTTCTCTCTACTTCCCCCACCTTCAGACAATCTCATACCTGAGTTGTATTTTGGAAATATTTTCCCCCAGCACTACCAGGTGGTGAGAAAAGGAGATGAATTCATTTGAGGAACACTATCCCTACAAGAGTTGGCAAGTTAACCATCACTTCTGCATGAAGAGGCAGGGATGCTCAGTAAACAGCACCATTCAACTCCTCTTTCTATGGCCTGGAACCAGGGTGGCACCATGTTGTTTTAGAGGGGACAAGCACAGCTTTAAAAGTTGTCAACACCATCAAGTAAATAAGCATGAGAATCTTGTGTGCCTGCTATTTCACTCACACTGTGGCTGGTATCAAGCTTTGCACTGCACAGAGTAAATCTCCAGGATGTTAAAAAAAACTCCTGCTAATTAAGACTTATTAAAGACTCAGCTCACTTCATATAGATTTTAGATGGGGATTTCTCTGTTGTGGTGCAGCTCAGGCTCTACTTTGTGACTCAGGAATTCTGGTGGGAAACTCAGAACTGCCCTCATTTTTTTCCCTTCCCAGGCTACATAGTAGGTGATGACCCAAGGCAGGTGGTCCTTCCTCCTGAAAGGCCAGGAAAACACAAGAATTGTGCCTGCGGCAAAAGATTTCAACACCAAGAAAAATGCCAGTCCATCCCTTGCATATTCTGCAGCCAGTGAGAGGACATGTTTCCTAATTCCAGATGTGATTCTGCATTCAAAACAATCTGCTGGTGAACTGGGAGCTCAGACCAGCAGCCTAATGTAACAGGTTTCCTAACTTTTCCAGAACCAACTGCTCCTGAATTGGGACCATGTCTGGCTCACAACTGGGCAGACAGGAGGTGAACAGCAGTTTCCTCTCATGGGCACCTTTCAGCTGAAGATGTTCATAACTCTGCTGTTGCTGAAAATTCCTCTCAAGTCTGACCCCACCACACTGATGACTTCAGCATTAATGAGTTTCTCCCACAGGCACCCAGAGACACAGTGTCAAGAGAATATCAAGAGTCAAGCACTGTTAAAATGTGCTGTCTTCAACTAGCTTTTCCAGCACTGTTGTTCAGTACCTCTCTAGTCCTGACTCGTGCAGGATTCATTTCTTCTCAGTTGAACGAAGTTTAAGATTTTTGGAAGGAGATGGGTCACACAGAGATTAAATACAGGCTGAAGTCAGAATACGTGACTGAACTGAAGTCACAAGTATGGATGGTATTCCTGGGCAATGAGCAAATCCTTGGAGTGCATGAGTGGATTGCAGATTGAATCTGATGTGTTTGGTGGTAATTTAATGTGGCGCCAAGGGTAGATTGCATTGGTTATGTGACACAACAGCTCTAGCTAGTACTGACTCACAGTGAGATGTCAGCTACTTGTCCCTTTTGCAAGTGAATGAATTGTGTCATGCTAGTCCTGGCTAGCCTTGCCATAAGAAAGGATGCCCTGGTCCGTCCCCATTCCTGTGCCCCAGTTATAATATCATTTTGGTTATGCAAATGAAACAGGTTTAGTGAATGAATTAAGAACTGACTTCCTCTCATTGGTAAAACATTTTGATACCTCCAACTTGCCCTAATCTTACAGATGGATTGGTTTCAGTGGGCAGGATTACCTGAAGTCCCACCTGACCTTTCCCGTTCTGGAAAAAGACACTTTACAAAATATCCCCAGTGCCTAAACAAACCAAGGAGGTATCTCTGGACCCCTCTGTATTCGCTCTCCAGACCAGTCGGCTCTGCCAGGCACTGCCTGGCAAATTGAGCAACTTATCTTTTGTTTTACCATAGTTTAAAATAAGTTATCAACCAATCATAAAATGAATTTTTTGGTTTCTCCTGGCTCCATGAACACAAAGAGGTGCACGTCCTACCATAGGAGGAAGCAATGGCTGTTAAGTTTTACAGTTATAGTGGAAAGCACTGATCACAGCCTGCCGGCCTCACTACTGGATGTGACAGGCGGTGGAGGAGGTGGCTTGGCAACACATGCAGGTAGGGTTGACCGATTTAGGGGGGATTAGGTCGAGGTCCTCGTCATCCGGGATCTCATCTAACCGGTACCCATCCTTTAGCAGCTGGATGTTCAAGTCTTGGTTGATCTGCTACAGACAAAGAGACAAACAGTCAAACACTTGGGACTTCTCACTTCTGGTGGTCAGAAGATGAAGGAGGTCCCTTATTAGAGAATGTATTTCCCCACCATTAACAACTGCCCTACAATCCTAGTTTTTGACCTCAGGTGAGGGGAGGGTACTAGGTTCTCTAGAGTAGGAATATCTAGAGTGAGATACACTATTTCATTCTGGGATAATTTTTCCCTGACAACCTGTAGGACAAGCCCTCAGTTAAAGTAATACAATAATATTATTTACTGGCAGATGGGCAGTCCCCCCCTCTCAGTCTGGGGCACACTGTAGCAGCTAAAAGATGGTAAAGTTTGGCTCTGTGATGTCAGATTCAAGTGCTGTTTAACTGGATCTGTATAAACAACACTTAAGGCACAGAAACAGCTCAGATCATCTGATACGGTCACTGCTCTTGGCTGTTTCCTAGAGTTTCAGAGGTATTTTATCCAAGGAAGAGATACAAGGGGCAAAAGTTTTGAGCAGTTTGTGGGCAGAACGGCTGCTCAGCACTCTGGATGCAAAATCCTGCAGAAGCAGTAGCCAGAGGCTGAACAACAAATTCATGAGAGAGTGTGGGAATATACTCAGAAACAATGCAGAGGGACTAACAAGCCTGAGCTTCCTGCCTTTCCTCTTTGAAAGGGCAAGAGTTCATATCTGCAAGTCGTCCCTGGAATTTATGCTTGCTCCAAGTAAACACACACTGGGTGACCCTGACCACTCCAATAACTGGAAATAACAGCACACTCTCAGATCCTTTATTTGTGTCCTTGGCATGCATGCAGTTGCTGAGCTGTCATGGCAGACAAGATGATGCTTTTGCACCTCATGGGTCACTGCAGGACTAGGCAGAATGAAAGAAAGTTTGAGTGAAACCAAAGGTAGCTGTGAAAACTGCTGATGGGCAGATCTCTGTGCCGTGGCAGTGAGGATATGGAGCCAACTGGATCACCAGGGAAGAAAGCAACATGACAGTTTCTGCCATGGCCCCTTCCAGACTCACGGAGTCCATATCAATATTAAATTTGTTGTGCAGCCATTTCTGCCTGTGCAAGGCCTCTATAAGCCATTTCTGCTGCTCTGTTACTTGCATTCATGGCAAGCATGGCAGGAGAGAGAATAACTCACCTCAGCTGATGAGTATCCCGAGGACGAATATCTGGACATATCGAAGTCATCATCACTGCAGGGAAGTGTAAGATACAGCAAAGAAGGAATTGGTTAGATGAGACCTGTATTCCCCACTTAGTCCTATCTTTCTTGTGCCATGAAACTGTTCTTGAGGCACAGAGAAGTTACATCAGGGAGCCTGTAAAGCAGCTTTCATCTGACACTCAGACCTTTCCATCACAGTGCTCTGTTCTCACAGCTCTCCTCACTTGTTCTTACAGAGACCCACCGTGGCTTAGGTCAGAGGGAACAGTGGAGGGAAGAGTGTGAGTGCTGCCCTCTGGCATGAAAACTCACTTAAGTTGTCATGTATATCACCTTTTTAACCTTTTGCATACCTGTCTGTATCCAGGGCTACCAGGGGCTTTTCATCTGGACTCTGGTCTAGCGACGAGTAGCCCTTGTTGGGAACGACGAGCCTGAAATAATTAAATGTTGTCCATTAACCACACAGCAAAGCCCAGAACCACACACTGCCTAGGGTAAAGCTACATGATAGTTGGCTTTCCCCATTTCACTTCTTTGCAAGCCACCATTTATTGGTGAAGATGTTTAAATGGGTGCAATTCAGAACAAGCTGTGTCTCTGGGTAGCCTACAATAGTTTCACAGGGATTAACACTGGGCATGCCTTGGGAACATACCCCTTCCTGGAAGAAAAAAACAAACATTGGGACACTCTGTACTTCATTCTGGTAAACCTGTTTGGCTGGCACTGCCTGTCATATCAGATTGCTCATTTTTGTGTTGCCTGTTTTTTTCCTGGCAAGGGTACCTGACACCAGCAGTAAGTACATGGGAGAAGGAGGCTAGGGGAAGCCAGAGGCCAGAGTGATCCCACTATTCTGCTGTTGGACACCAGGGATATTCTGAATCCCTACCCAGGCCCCTGGCAACACAACACTTCTGATATCTCAGTACTAAATTTAGTAATATTAGAAACCTGAGCTGGTATGCCCAGCATAAGAAACCAGTCAGACCAGCACTTTTCAAATTCCATTTTTTTGCAATGACTTTCAGTTAATCAGAAATCTTACAAAGGCTGAGGATGACTCTGCACATTTAACTGCCTGGGAGAGTTTGTGAAATGGAGTGCAAGCTTCAGAACTTCGAGGATAAGGAAAATGTGTTAATACTATGGTATCTTGTTCACAATGGAGTTCTTTCATCCAAAAAAAAAGCAAAAATAATTTGGTTCACAATTAAAATAAGATTAACTAAACCCAAAAAATGGATTAAGAGTGTTTGTTCAGTAGGCAAGAACCATAGGAGCGACAAAAATCTTCTCTTTCAGTAAGTTAAGTCAGGTTTTCTCCCAAGTGGTCTTTAACAACAAACCATGATGCACAATGAGCTTCACTAAGAGTTTAAAAAATATAAATCTAAATATGATACTCCATCCATGCTCCAACTACTCTCTAACTACCTGAAACATTTTTCTGCTTCTGCACAGATAATTGCAGCAAGCCATTAACAGTTTTAGAAATAAGAAGTCCTGGCAAGCACTGTCAATGGCCAGGCTCAGGATGAGTAAGATATATCAAATCCTATTACAAAGCAGATATACAGGTTCACAACTAGTTATATTTTCTTACTGTGTTCACTGAAACATAAGTTAAATAAATTAATTTAAAACCTGACACAGAATTTCCTGGCTGCACCAGGGGACTGGAGAAAATGGGATCCACTTGCAAAATTCAGTAGCCCTTCTCACAGAAGTGAGACAGTCCTTCTGCTCCTGAGGTATGAAGGCAGGAAGTCAAGAAGCAAAGATGTCTGGAACTGAAGCCGAGATTTGGCAGCACAAGTTTTCCCATACATATATCAGAAGTACTGACTCCTATTTTCACTCCAGTTTTCCAATCCCTGCTCCATATATACTCACTGACAGTTGTTATTAAATCATCAGTGAACAAAGCACTCTCAGGTGATCTACGAGGAGAACACTGTGGTGATATTTACTTGATGAATAAAACCCCACCATATCTTCTTATTGAGAAATGTCTTTTTTCTTAATAATAAAAAACTTTAATTTAACTGCAACAGACAAAAATTGTTATGGTGTCTCTGCCCCTGATTTAAGTCTATCCCTCACATCCTGATTGTCTTTATCTTCACTTCCCACTGTCCTTGGAATAAAGTCAGGTAGCAGTGGTAGCTACTTTTGTCTGCAGCTGCCCTGGTATAAGCTTCTTTGTCTTTGTGTTTTTGCTCACTTGAAGCAACACAGGTTGGACCATAAGGTCCAAGTTTAGGTTACCCTGAGTGGACTGTAGCACCCAGCTGCATTCAAGTGGTGTGGATGGTGTTGTGGGCTCTGTCTGTGCTCATAAGAAGAGCATCACCCCTACCTCATTCACATTTAATTTGCTTTTAGGGAGACTGAGAATGTTATGGATCCAATTACTTTCACATGTAAGGCTGGCTGCACCCTTGTCCCAGAAGAGGACTGAATGGTGAAGGCAACCTTGTACTAGAGGCTGGATGTCAGAAATCTACAGGGATAATACAAAATAACAGAGGCCTTGGGAAAGAAGGAGGAGGTGGAGTAGAGAGTAGGAGAGGCAAAGCACAAAGGAAAACATATTTGACAAGAAGAGCAGAACTGTCAAAAATGGGAAAATGGTTTTAGCTTAATTCTCCTGCAGAGACCTGAGGAAGCCAACAGTTCAGACTTAAATAATAATCTGGAAATTTTGCAGTATATCCTCCTGGAATATATCCCATTATACTGCAAATGTTACCCTGTGAAAACCTGCCTGAGTAAGCTTGTGGCTTTTCTGCCTTGCTGGTGTTGCCGTCTCTGTGGCAAGACAGACTGAAGCATTCAGAGGTGCTTAGATGTCCTTAAGTGAAATAAAATTGAGCTGGCTGTTTCAAGTCTTTTGTCAATAGGTGTCACTGCTCTGCTCTTTCCATCGGCAGCTTGGAAACAACAATCTCTCCATGGAAAATTCACTCATGTTACAGGTAGATAGCTCTATTTATTCCATCTTCTCTCCCTTATTATCTTCCTCCACTAATTTCAGTGTTTCTAAACCTCTCAAGCAGCAAATCTGCTACCATTTCTCTCAGGATGCTAGCTTGCAGCCTATTGCCAAAAGAAAACAACTTTTTCCGAATGTACTTGGAAGATAAGAAGGACCAGTGGGCATGGAAAATCCAGCTGAGCACAGTTCCTGAATTTCTTGCTGCCATGAAGGGTCTGGCTGTTTTATATGGCCTCAACTCCTGAACACAGAGAGGAAGCAATGCAGCACATTCCCCTGTATTTCAGGGGCTTACACCTAACAGTTGACAAGGTCCTGTCAGGATTTATGACTAATATTTTGGGTCTGGGGAATTAGTGTGAGCAAGAAATCTCATCTTTCAGATGCATTGCGTATAGAGAGGCTCTCACCTGCAGCTCCTATTCTACTTAATATATGGTAATCCAGGCAACTTTCCCATTCATCAGTAAACATCCAGCATTCCCCAGATTCCTCCATCATTTTAAGTGAGGTCCTCCATTAAAACCTGCCATGTTTCTAGCAGCATGCAAATCATGCAATCCTGTGGGCTCACGAGGTTTACTTCCTTCTGAACATAGGTAAGTAGTACATTGGTATACTGAAGTCTGCACAGAAAAAAAAAATACTCTAAAAGAAAATATTCAGCTCAGAATGTCTTTGTTTACAGCATGTTGTAGGACTGCCTAATACTCTCTTAAAGAGCTCTTCCAAAGCATCTCCGGCAAAGTGTGACTGTGCTGTTCCAAGGGTGGAGAAGGTGTACAGAATACAAGCCTTCATTAAATCTGTCTGCAGAACAGGTCACCATCAAAAAGGAGCAGCAGAACTTACAGTGACAAAAGCAACCAAGGCAGAATTAAGCTCTAAACTACTCTGTGTTTCATGAAGAAGCACAGCTCCTCTCCCACTGGCAGGATTAGGTGTTACCTGAGACTACTCAGAACCTGCAGGATGGCTCTATCAACCCCTTAATTTTAACCTGGCTGGGCTGCCTCTGCTTTCTACAGGCTGTACTACCACTGGTCCTGGGCTCAGCTGTCCATGCATCTTCCCAGGGGTTGGGATGCAACAGCACAGAGATTTGGGCCCAGCAGCTCCAGGAAGGGCCATCACTGCTCTTGCAGTGTGGCTGGCAGAAAGCAAATGCAATGAACACTGTCCCTGAACCACCCCAGGACCACTAGGGACTGCAGCTCAGAGCACAACTGTGAGTACTTTCCCACTCCTTTACCTTGTTCGTGCCATCACATTGTTCTTCTTGGGCTGCTGATTAACTGGGCTTCCCATGTTGCCATTCTTCAGGGACCCCTTCCGAGCCAGCTCCCTCTGCTTCTCTGCATAGGAGATAGGAATGGGAAAAGCAAAATTAGAGCAGCAGCCTAGCTGGCCACCATAAGAAGAAACCCAGATCTGGTAGTAGCAAAAGGCACAGCAGAATTAACAGCAAAGGACATGAGCTCACCACCTCTTATGAAGGGACGCTGCAAAGGCCAGATGAGCTGTGTCCCACTTTCTCCAAGGTCACCAGGGACTAAAACTGATCTTCCTTCACTCACAGCAGCCTTTTGACAGGAACACACTAAAATCTGGGTGTCCAAGACCCATAAGGTCTTGGAGCTTCTGGATGAAACCCACGTGAGGCAGACAACAGGCATAGGCCTTGTGCCTGTCTGCAGCTAGCTGCTGGATGAACCCCAATACTGTGCTCTACTAATATGGCTCTGCTTCTAGCAGGGATGAGAACCCAGGGATGTATATAAATTGATATTAAATTTTCCTTCCTTGTTTCTTGTAGAAGATCAGTTGTATTGAGTTACCAGCTAGTCACAAAAGTTGAGCTAACTACCCCAACTTCATTGTCCAATGGCAGGCAAGGCTTGTATGGAAAAGCTGAGCATGGGGCCAGTAAGGCAGGAATGAGACCAGTTAAAAAAAATTCTTCAGAGTGTAAGAAAATGCTGGAAACTACTTTTTTGGCATGCCTGAATAACAGGTGTACCAGACTGCTTGCTAAGGAACCTGAATAGTGAATTTTTTTTGCTTTGGCCTCTCCTGCAATGTGTGAATTATGTTGTTGGGTTGTGTATTTTTTTTTTCTTTTGCAGATTTTATTTCCACTTGGAGAGAAGACCAGCTTTTCTCACTTGTTGTGAGAAATACAGCATGCTTCTACGGCATGCAAGTTCAAGGTGAGCCAACACTTTCCCTTCCTCACAAGTCAGAGCAGGGGGACACACATCCAAGGTTCCCTTTCTTGAGGGAGAAACAAGCAGCAGGGATGCCTAGAGATTGTTATGATGAGGAACATGGAGACAAGAATACATACACTTGCAAACCATACCCAGTCTGCTCCTGTTGACAACAGAGGTGAATAAATGCACATGGAACTTGGCAGAAAAAGGACTGAATTAATAACTCACTCTGGCTTGAGCAACTTAAAAGACTGATTCAGGATTGAAATCAAAACCTTAAATCAGAGTAATTTCTCAGTATGGAACTTGGAAATGCATTGGTTACCTCTGTCTCCAAAATAAAAGGCTGGTATTTTGCAGGCCACAAGAATTTTGCTGTTCAGAGAGAGATAAAGCAAGACTACGAAGGCAAATACCTTCAACATGAAATACAACCTCATTTCCACTCATCTCCATCAGAAGCTCCAGTGCTGATCACAAATACACAGCACTGAGACAAGCTGCCAATGCTCTAGGATGCTGATGAAATGGTTACAGGGGGCTGAATACACTGAGTGTAGGTGTGATGTCCCACAGGCAATCATCAGCAGGGCTGAAACAGACAGGGGAGCCTTCACCACACCCAGGTTCCTTCTGGCTTTACACTAAATTTTCAGAGAGAAGCTTCCTTCAAGAAGCAGGATAGAGCAGAGAAGGTTGGGAGGGCATGAAGCAGTTTGTGTGTGCCTTTGACATTGCAAAATATGTTCAACTGGCAGTCTGAAGATCCTGCCTGATCATTAGCAGGATCACTGTGTAGGATGATGTATTTAGTTTCTGTGCAAGTTTTTGGTAGTGGAGGGTTGCACTGGTGGGTTCTGTGAGAAGCTTCTAGATGTTTCCCTGTGTCTAACAGAGCCAATGCTAGCAGGCTCCAAGACAGACTGACTGCTGGGCATGACTGGGCTCATTAGCAATGGTGGTAGAGACTCTGGGATAACAGTTAGGAAAGGGGGAAAAATCCTGCACAACTGCAGCCAGACAGAGGAGTGAGGATGTGTCAGAAACAGCCCTGCAGACACCCAGGTCAGTACAGAAGCAGGAAGAGGAGCTGCTCCAGTTGCCAGAACACATTCGCCTGCAGCCCATGGAGGTCCATAAGGAAGAAGAGATCCATCTGCAGTTCACGGAGGACCCCACAACAGAGCAGGTGGGTGCCTGAAAGAGGCTGTGACCCTGTGGAAAGCCCGTATTATTTCTGTGTTTTCACTACTCTGTCCAGCTGAGTAATACAGAAGCTTTGATTGGCTCCTGCTGTCCAGCCAGGGTCACCCCACCACAGACAATCTAGTCATCTCCATGCTTGAGTGAAGCAAAGCAGCAGTTTTCTTTTCAGTGGAGAACTTGGAGAATACAGACAGCAGTGCTGTCAGTCTGACTCGTGGGGGAATTTGGTTGCACTGGTTCCACTTCAGCTAATCCTGGATGTTGTGTCAGAAGAAGAACACATGGAGCACGTGAGAGAGTGTGTGAGTGTATGTGAGGAGGGGGTCCAGGATGGGGAACAGACTTTTGTCTGGATCTGCCAACCACATCACATCTTTCTCCTCCTTTATTGTTCACCTTGTCACTTCATCTTTGAGACACTCTGTCCCTTTTGACACAAAAACCATTTAAGGGAAGATGCACCTGCTTAAAAAATAAACCACTGCTTTCCTGCTATCCCCACACTAGCCTGCACTGCTCGTTGACTCCATCTGAGCCATTCACATCTGCTCCAAGTGCTGCTTCAAAGTAAGCTCTGATGGTGACAAGACAACAGCCAAGCAGACTATGGAGCATTCAGTAAAGCAGGGATAACACCCAAGTGAAAAGTAGCAAAGGAAATGCATGCTGCAGACACAATCAGCACCACAAGTGGCTCAGCCTTGTGTCCTGCCTGGCAATGGTCTCCTATTATAGTTGCCTGCAAAATTAATAAGAAGGTGCCCCAGCATGCCAAACACTCAGTAAACTGTCCCTGTCCCAGTATTCACTCACCTGCCTGATCCAGGATGAGTCAGAGGGTGGATGGCCAGAAAACTACTACATGCTGACAAGTGACACTTATCTACACAGGGAGCCTCTTTAGGGAGAGTCAAGAGGGGGCTGAATTCTCCCCTTATCATGGGAACACCTACAGCCCTAATGAATGATTCCAAGTACTTCTTGAGATCATTTAGTGCAATCTAAAATGGTTACCTGTTCAACTGGCAGGATGTGTCTAGCTCCTTTATGATGAGAGAAAATAGTAATGGAGCATGGGAAGCAGAATGGACTTAACATGAATGTGTCTAAACTAAAAATCAGACTTGAATGAATCCTTAAAATTATTTCACTGGTTTCAGCATTTAAACAAAATCATAACCAGTTTTAATAACACTTACAAGGTTTTTTAATAAATTAAATGCTGAACAGTTTGTTTGGAGCATGTTGCTATGTAGGGGTGGCCTTGGTTTTGCCTACTATCTTCCCCAAACCAGAAATGCCAAAAGTAGTCATATGCTTGAGTCTCCTGCAGAACTGTTCTTTTTGTGACATGAGGCAAAGCAGACAATGCAGGAATCTGGTGAACATCATTCTGTACTATGCTGAAGAGATATTTGAAGAATCTGACACCCTAAATCCACATTTTCCATTTGTCCCAAGATAGTGGGTGAGTCTGGCTATGATCAGACAGTGGTGGGTGGAGAGTGGTTTAGGATGCCATTGTCACACTGTCACTGTGCTTGACTACCTGCAGCCCCCTCAGCTGAGGCAGCCTGACTGGCACAAACACTATTTTATGGCAGATGAAGCTGATTTGCCTCCTTTGCACTGCGTGGTGCAACAAGCAGATGCTGACTGCTCCAGTCTCTTTTCTGAGAGCTGCTGGTGGACCTCAGTAACTCAACTGCTTGTGAACCTGCCTGACCAGGAGAAGATGGAGCTTCTGGCTATGAGGACAGTGCATGTGGACCCATGGGATTTGCTGAAGTGGCAAGACAAAGAGAAATTAATACAGTGTGACAGAACTGTATTTTTTTTCATTTTCAAGGTTGATGAGATGAGATTTTGGGATGTATTTTTCTCTCTGTCCCCCACAATCAGCTAAATTGTTTCTGAGGCTGAGGACTCTGATTCTCTGATGAATTCTAATTTCTCAAGTAAGCTGAGAATTCAAATTACATACAAAATGGAATTAATATGTCTGCTCAAATTCTGCTGAATGATGAACAGGTTCATGAGCAAATGAATGGAGAAAGAATTAAATGATGTCTACAGCTTATTCAAGCCCAAGTCTTGATTTCAGTTCACTTGCATTGCTTAGCTGGGGGACATTAGCATGAATCTAGGTAACACTGAAATCTTCTCTACCTTTCACCTCTGACAGCTAGTATTTGTCAGTGAGGACTGCCACTGCCTGGAGAGGATTTCAGGGTACATACACAAATTTGGGGCTTTGCCTGTAGGCTGTGTGGAAAAGAAGGTGTAAGAAAGTTGTGTGTTATGACCATGCTGACCCCAGTGTTCCCTGGAGTGTAAGTGTGACCATGTGGCTGGCATTGGTGCAGCTGATGGCTCTGCCTACCTGCACTGAAAAAAAGGCAAAAGAAAAGCGATTTTTACTAAACAGGTGCAGCAGAAGTAAAAAGGACCTATATGTGGCCAATCCCCTGCTGTGAATACAGGGACTACAGTTTCAAGCTGACACAGGCCAGGTATCAGCACTGATTGTTCAGGACAGGCCATCTGAATAAGGATGCTGTTTCACTGGTTTCAGAAAAGACTGTTCAGATAGCAAGGGTCAGACAGCTATGTCACCCAACTACCAACCTGGGTGAGATGCCATATTCTTAGCTGAAGCATGTTATTTTTCTGACCCAGACAAACTTGGGGAAAATAGCGAACTGTTTTCTAAGTCCAGCTGTGTGAACTGGCTGGAAAGAGCAGGTCTGTCTTCCAAGGTCCCTCTTGGACCAGGTTTTAAAGATCAAATAGCAGCATTTCCATACGTTCTGTGGATCTGGCTGCTGCTCTGTGCCTTTGGCATGGCTGAGAACCGGCACAAACACCAGTGGGCTTGGAGTGGTTTTAAGCTCCCATCAGCTCCCAAAAAGGCCTGATCCAGAACTCCTAAACAA